ACTAATGATTAGATTTCAACACTTTCCAAAGCTCAGTGAGAAGGTAAAACACATGGAGGAGAACAAACCAACTTTAAGTATCCTATTGCTCTCAGATGTTGACTCAGATCAGAAACAAAACAAATAAAAACAACCTGCTTAGTCATGCTTTGCTTATCCTTCCTTCCCTTGTAAAAATCTGTTGTCTGGTGTCTTCTCTGCATGCAAGGAACTTAGAAGTCTTGCTCCCATCCACCTCACAAGCAGAAAAGCTGAGCAAGGTAAAATCCAATAATTCCTAGATCCATCAGAGGATTAAGGTCAGAGGGCAAACCACTGAACCCAAGATGAGAAAGACAGTCAAGGCTAAGATTTGGGTGTGATGAGGGAGGTGAGTCATACAAGCACAGGGGCAGCTTCTGTCTTTATTGGACATTTCAGTTTCTTCAGGTTAAAATCCTATTTGGACATTGAACATTCATCTCTCAAAAGAAGCCAGTCTAAAGACGTTGGTCAATGTGCACTCCTCTCTAGAGCCCCCAATGTGCAATGTGTGTGCCCAGAGACACCAGTAAAGACCCTGTCCCTGGCTTCTGTTCCAGTTTTCTACTGCTGATACTCTCTCTACATCTCCCCAAAGTTCTCTAGAGCTTCCATGTGCATTGGCCTCCAGCCTCCATGCAAACCCATCAGTGCCGGATCACTCTTAATGACGCAAACACACATGGGAAGCCTATTCCTGACTCTATTTTAACTGGCCTAATGCTTTTTGTACTTGAATGAAAAATATCAGAAATCTCATCCCGCTTGATTTTCAAAGAATGGAGCTCATAAAGATGTAGGCCTTGGAGTCCATATTGGCTTGTCATTGGACAGAATCAACACATTTTGTTTTCCTACAAGTCCAAGGTAACTGTGGAAAAGTGTTTTTCCATAGCAACCGATCTATAGAGGCTTATGTTCTGCAGAACCTACCTGGTTAAGTTCAAACTGGTTATGGCAACAGAGGTCAGGATGCTAGTAGAGTGAGAGAAACTGTTCTTTAAACCTGATTTATGCAATAAACTCCATCTGCCACCAAGATGTCTTAGCAAACACAGCCTAAGTAGTCACCAAGCATTAGGCCTCACATTTCAACTACATCACACCATCAGTATCCTCTTTAAAAGCAAGGGACTAGGTTTTATAACAGTATGCTTTAAACACATGGCAGTAGGAAATTCCAAGTTGGATAATTCATATGGCTGCTATAATTTATTTGCACCTAAAAAGAAAAATCACAGAAGATGAAACATCATTGCCTGCAGGAGAGGTACCTACATGTCAATGAAGATCACTGTCGATTCCCTTCCTCTCATTTTTTTTTTCCTGTAACCTCTTATTGAATAATTATTTTATTTTTCACTTGTGTATGATTCAAGCAAGCTAGACAAACAAGAATATGTTTCTTCAGTAGGAAAAACTCAAACATAATAATTAAAGAATAAGTTTACAGTGAGTCGACAAATAGGTATTCCAAGTTTGGGGAGAAAGTTTAGAAGATTGCTCCCTCTGAAATGGACACGGATGGGAGGCAATTTGAAACTGGGTAACAGTCATCATTTTGGGATGACCCACTTTGAAGGATGTTTCATGAATGATTTGCTGTGTAGGCCATGACATTTCCTCAGGCTCACCATTGAAACATCAATCTACTATAAAATGATGAAACAGGACTTTTAATTATGAACATTCTACCACATTTCTGAAAGACATACAAGATGAATAGAAAGTAACACTGAGACTGGGAGCTTGCTTTTCACCAAGAAGTGGCAGTGTATGTGTCAGGCAGTAATGATAGTGAGCACAAAACAATGATTTCAATGTGAGAATGTGAGAGAAGCAATACTAGTTTCCTTAGGCATATTCATTTGAATTATTTCAACAACTTTAGAAAGCCAATTATTATTATTTCTGTCTGAAAAGTGAGCAAAGCGAGGCTCAGAGATGTTACATGCCTCACCTGAAGGCACATAGTTGGTGTGTGGCTGTGACAGTATTTGGGGACAGGTCTGTCTGCAACACCTGGGCCTTTCTCTAATATGAGGTATCTCCATATTACTTTCCACAGAGGTTGAACTAGTTTGCAGTCCCATCAGCAGTGTATGGATGCTCCTATCTCTCCACATCCACACCAACATTTGTTGTTTTGGGACTTTTTGATAAAGGCCATTCTCACTGGAGTTAAGTGATATCTCATTGTGGTTTTGATTTGCATTTCCCTGATGATTAGAGATGTTGAGCATTTTTTCGTATGTTTCTTGGCCATTAGTCTATCTTCGTTTGAAAAGTTTCTCTTCATGTCCTTTGCCCATTTCTTGCTCTCTCTCAGCTGTGGAAGTGGCTCCTCCACTAGAATGGTATAATCCTTAGTGAAACAGTCCTCAGACATCATCCCGGGCTGGACAAAATGCACCAGAAAGTTCCCCAACTCAGGTCTACAAATCAGCAACTGTTTTCTAAATAATTTCTTTGTCGAAGGACCCCAGTTTTGAGAATGTGTGCGATGAAAAAATTGGCATTCTCACTCCTGGAATGAAATATTTTAGTCTCCATATTAATTTTTCAGTTTCCTGGATTTTTTTTCATGAGTTGTATTTGAATATTTTAAAAATTATATCAGAATATTATGGGGGTACAAACTCTTGGGTCACATAAATTGCCTTTGCTCCCTCCTGTGCCAAAGCTACAAGCATGCCCATCCCCCAGAAAGTGTGCACCACACCGATTAGGTGTGAATTTACCTATCCCCTTCCCCCTCAACTTGCCTGAATGCCAATGAATGTTACTTCCTTATATGCATGTATTGATCAATTAGTACCAATTTAATAGTGAATACATGTGGTGTTTGTTTTTCCAGTCTTGTGATACTTCACTTAGAAGAATGGTCTTCAGTTCCATCCAGGATAATACAAGAGGTGTTAGGTCACTATTTTTTATGGTTGAGTAGCACTCCATTGTATATTAATACATATACCACATTTTATTAATCCACTCATATATTTATGGGCATTCAAGCTGTTTCCACATCTTTGCAATTGTGAATTGTGTTGCTATAAATATTGTAGTGAAGATGTCTTTTTTATAAAATGTCTTTTTTTTTCCCTTTGGGTAAATACCCAGTAGTGACATTGTTGGATCAAATGGGAGTTCTACTTGTAGCTCTTTGAGGGATCTCCGTATTACTTTCCACCAAGGTTGTACTAGTTTGCAGTCCCATCAGCAGTGTATGAATGCTCCTATCTCTCCGCATCCACACCAACATTTGTTGTTTTGAGACTTTTTGATAAAGGCCATTCTCACTGGAGTTAAGTGATATCTCATTGTGGTTTTGATTTGCATTTCCCTGATGATTAGAGATGTTGAGCATGTTTTCATATGTTTCTTGGCCATTAATCTATCGTCTTTTGAAAAGTTTCTCTTCATGTCCTTTACCCACTTCTTAATGGGGGTCGTTTGATTTTTTTTTTTCTTACTGATTTGCCTGAGTTCTTTATAGATTCCAGTTATCAGCCCTTTATTCGATGTGTAGCATGCAAATATTTTCTCCCATTTTGTAGGCTGTCCATTCACTCTAACGATTGTTTCCTTAGCTGTGCAGAAGCCTTTTAATTTGAGCTCCCCACTGGCTGAATGGATTATAAAAATACAAGCCAAATATCTGCTGTCTCCAGGAAACACATCTAACCCACAAGGACTCATTCGGGCTCAAGGTGAAGGGGTGGAAAACAATATTCCATGCAAATGGAAACCAAAGAAAGCTGGTGTAGTTTGAATATTTTGAATAGCACTTGACAAACTCTTGGATGAACTCCTAAATTCAAGTTTTTCAATGACAAATGTGAAGGTTAGCTCCACTGGTTTTCTATCAATTTTCTTATATTTTTTCTTACAAAGGTGTCTCTCCAGGGGCAATACCAAAGAAAGCCAAGTTGCTGTGAGCTTCTCACTGCCTTTGTCTATTATGCTAGCTCTTCTGCCTCAAATGATTGCCGTGCCTTCTCACCTGAATCCCTTCCTCTTTTAAAATCCAGCTCAGATGCTACCAGTTCTTTTGTGACATCATTCTGGAACCCCTCCCCCTCCCCCCAGGAAAGTCAATCTCTCATTCTTTTAATCGTCCATATAATTTTGCATGCACTGCTCTTACATTCACCACTCTGTAGTAACCCCTTCTGTGTAACTCTGCTTTCCCACCCAGCCTATGTGCTACCCAATAGTGTAAATGAAGACAGTCACTTTTGTTACTGCAGTGTCTACTACACCATTCTGCATAGGAAAAAAATTCTCAATAAGTATTTGTAGAAATGACATTTAAAAACCCTGCAGCCTTGTCTTTGCAAACTGTACCCTTCAGGAAGATGTGAGAAGATGACAACTTACTAGGGGCTGATTTTTCTCCTTGAGCTTAACTGAAATCATGGCCGTTGAACAGACTTTGTTCTAAATCAAGTTCACAGAACTTGATTTATTAGTATTAAACCTCCTCTGCTACCTTTAATTTTGCTTGTAATTAGCCTCTCAATCTTAACATAATCCTCTGCTTATAAAAATCATAGGATGCTTCATATGACAGTGAGAAAAGTGGAGCCGTGGAAAGTCAAGGGACTTACGAAAAATCACACAGCTAAGGGGGAGAGTTGAACTAGAACTCTGGCTCTCTGGGCCCCTTTGTTATTCTTCCTACTAGACCAGGCTGCTATGAAAAAACAATAGTAACCCCTTTAAGCTTGTTTGTAGCTCTTTTTCTTACTCAGAAGTTTTTCTTTAATAGTTGCAGAGGACACTATCACAGAGAAAGCTGCCACCAGGTTTGGTGCCTTACAAACCAAGGACATTTATAAATTCAATGTTAGAAATGTTGGTCCCATACTGAGAACTGTGGTTTCCTTTTTCTCAATGACAAAGGCAATAAAATGCAAGTATGCATGCATCCAAACATATCGGCTGTCAATAATAAAATGGTGAGAAACAGCACTAACCATAGTCCGTGTTTTCCGGCTCCCAACAGTTTGATGGCCAAAAATAGGGGGTCTGTGGAATGAAAAGAAGTGGAACCCAGGTTAGACAAATTAAAAAATTAGAGGAGCTTCTGGTGTGTGAGCTGTGTTCATCTTCAGCAAGTATCTAGAACAGTTTGCCAATGAGATAGGTTTTATAATCCAGAACAAGTTCTCAGAGAGACACTGTACGTTTACCATGCTGACCAATCACTCAGGCTCCTATATGTATAGTACCAGCAAGCAGGTGTTTAAGATGTTACACATTTGTTACAATTTCATAGCAACTGACATGAAAGTTTTGCATTATTCAAACAAAAAGGAAAGTTCATCCACCGAGAAGACTGAAAGAATCTTATATTCAGCAAGACTCAATATAAAATATGTCTAAATAGAACAAATTGTTTTCTGTGCATCATGTATCTCAACACTGCCTTTGGTAGATCTGAAAACCTCAACCATCATCTTTCTCTGAGATATGGCGATCATTTGCCTGGCTCCATTAATTATATAACGAAGCTCTCAACATTATCCAGCTAGATTTAAACAACTTGTTAGCCGCACGCTTAAAAATATTTCTTCATAAAGATACCAACTGCTCTAAAGTTTTAAACTACACAAACAAGATATCATTTTTTGAAACTAATAATATCTCAATTGATGCGATAAATAGGTCAAATTCTGAATCTGTCAAATTCTAGAAACTGATGGACTAAACTATAAAGAAAATGAGCAAGAAAATAAATCCTATTATTATCATCAACATTTTATATTTTCTAAAAAGTTTTTTCTAGTTCTGCTAGCTGGACATGCTTGACTCCTGGTCTTGAGGAAACGCAATGACCAACTGTCTACTTATCCACCACTATTCCCTGGAATGATGATGTCTCCAAGATTCAGTGGCACAGCAGCTACAGATGTTAGTGCATCAGTATCATGGGCTTACTTATATGCTTTAGTTAATTATATTAACTAGCTATGGGTAGCAAGCATATTTGGGATAATTTCTGATTATCGGATATTTTTACCTTCTAGAAGAGTAACTCTCAGGAAGGGAAAATGGGTTGTTGGGGAGAACTGTTTAAACCTTTGGGGGACAGTCCTTCTAAACTGTCTGAAACCCACGGGGGGGGGGACATTGACTCAACCCCCACTCTTTGCTGGGAATTACAGCAGCATAACCAAGAAGATTACTGGTAGTGGTTTTGTGCACATGTGAATAAAATCATAGCAGGAATTTAGAAGAAGAAGAAAAAAGATTGAACCACTAGATATAGGGGGACATCGAGACTTTATATGAGTCACCCTGATTACCCCAATCTCACTTGACTTCATGGGAGATGAAGCTACGAGGACTTGATTTCTTGGAAATAAAACTGGATCCAGATTCTCAGGGTGCCATATGAAGACAAAATAGTTAAAAACTTGCTTTCATGTGGGGTGCTAGTTTTTGAGATGCTTCTCATAGACTACATTACTCCCTTTGGGTTGGTTGGTTCTTTATTTTGGTGTGTATGTGTGTATGTGTGTTTGTGCATATCTACTTTCCTAATTTTAAAATATCTATTCTAGTCAGACTGGTCAGACATATATATATATATATATATATATATATATATATGTATTTCTCAAAACCACAAGAAATATTCTTAGCTGAATTCTTATAATTTTTCTTTACTCTTCACCATTTACTTTAGTGAGAATTTCATGACTCTAAAAATAAAGAATGAAGCAATTTTATCCCGTGCAAATATGTGGAAATGCCATAAAGCAACATTCCTTACTAATATTGGAAGTTTTGTTTTCCTAGGAAAAAAGTTTTGATTTATAGTAAAAGATAATATGAGAATAACAAACCCTTATAGTTCATTGGCATTTAAATGCCTGTTTTTATAGTTCTACTGGACTTTAAGACATTTTAATGCATGAGTTTCTCTGTTTTTCAGTGTTGGCTTCCTTAGCTAGGAGGAAACTCACTGGAAGTCCAGCCACTGCTCGGTAACCTCTGGCCCACATACTAATGTGTGGAAAATCACGAAAGAGACCTAGAGAACAGCATCAGATCTCGATTTCAATTAGCTAAGAGGGGAGGATTAGGCAATTGTGAGTTTAAGATAAATACCAAAAAAATCACATGATTAAAACATGTACTAAGAATCTGAGACAAATTTACACACTGTGTCATGCCAGTGAAATTAAGTCAAGAGTTCTGTCTGTCTCAAATCCATGCTCCGAGGCTTCCTTAGATTCCTACTGATGGTTAGACTCTCAGTCATTCACTGGAGGAATTATACACCTGGCCTCCCAACTTTCCTATTTTATTTATTTATGGTTTTTAAAATCCTTCAAGGACTTGAATTTCAGTTCAATGTAATAAAGAACTTCCTGCCATTTGGAACTAACATAAAAATGGAAGTGAACACCTTGAATGATAATGGGTTTTCTATTAATAAAGCTGTTCAAATAGAGACTGATTAATGCCTTGGTAGACATTATGGTAGGAATTCAGTGAAGCCTGACTTTTCTGTTTTTTGGTTTTTTTTAATCTTTGTTTTAGGATTCTATGATTATTAGATTTATAAATATGTTATATTTATATACTATTTCAAATATGGATGGGTTATTAAAATATGTAATATTTAATATTTGACATTAATTAATGTAATTTTAGTGTGATGAGTATATATATATAATGTTTGTTTTAAGTCTTTCTATTTTAGCACATTGAACTTGATAAGTCTCTGCCTATACCTAGAGTTACACAATTCACACATCATTTGTACCCATTCCCTTGCTTTTTAAAGCTTTTTTTAAAAGTTTCTCCTTTTCTCCTAAATGTATGGTAGTTCCTTCCTTCATAGGCCATTTTTGACCCATGAGCATGACTAAGATATTTACACCTTTTCTGCCTACTCATTTCAGTCTGGGAATGGAGTCACCTTTAAAAATCAAGAAGCTATTAGCCCGGCATGGTGGCGCATGCCTGTAGTCCCAGCTACTCGGGAGGCTGAGGCAGAAGGATCGCTCGAGCCCAGGAGTTTGAGGTTGCTGTGAGCTAGGCTGACGCCATGGCACTCACTCTAGCCTGGGCAACAAAGCGAGACTCTGGCTCAAAATAAATAAATAAATAAATAAATAAAAATCAAGAAGCGTTAGTAGCATATAAACAATTGATTTGCTAATCACCAATAATTCGTATTTTTTTTTTAAATGTTACCATTGGGACCACAAGTTACTCCAACTTAATGATAAGCTGTTTTACTCTACCATTACTTTAAGTGCAGCTGTAGAAAGAAAAAAGCTCCATTATTTTTGAACCCTTTTAAAATTAAGTAATTTAACTAAACGCTTGAATACCTAGGTCAGTACCACAGTTTCAGGAGACAGCTTTATTTCTAGCTATTCAGTGCAAAGATGTCCTATGATTATTTGCCCTGGGAGAAATGGCCCTTAGGGTGGGGCAGGGAAACTGTTCTAGGAAGACAATGATCTCTGAAATGAGTTTTTAAAGCAAAGGATTAAAACGATTTTTTAAGGTATATTTCGTCTTTGTTCTCAGTTGTTCCGAACAAATTTTAGGTACCCAAATTACTAATAAATAATTTATTTAAATGATTGAATAAGCATTCAATCATTCAAAAGCATTGAATAATACTAAGAACAAATGAGAACAATGCTCCAATGTCTGAAAGTTGGACAATGGGGAGAACCCTCCACAAAATACCTACAAGAAATTAGCTAGAATCTGAAACCTGGCATTATATTTACGGCCTAGAATCTACTAGGCAGTTATTAATGAGCCATAATGTCTAATGAAATGTAGAATACATTTCAGAGAAATCATTGTCAACTCAAGTGTCAACTATATGCACAGTGAATGAAATTAGAGTCCACAATCATTGCTTGAAAGAAGAACAGCATCTGTGTCATTTGAAAATGACCTAAAATGACTCATCAGGTTTGCAGGTTATCTAAGGTATCCTCTCTAAGATGACTGTGCACACACAACATATGTTAGTCTTCACAGACTTGTGGCAGGGCCTCAGATACTGACATGTGGATGGTTGATATAATTAGCACAATTTTACCCTGCAGCTTTAGCACCCTTACAAGAGTCCACCTGGACTGAAGATGATTCTGGATCACAGGCAAGGGCCAGAGTATAATCAATTTATTTATATCTCTCAAATGCCTCCCTAGTAGCTAAATGCAACTTACAGATAATGATGATTCTTCAATCTTCCTGAATTCCATTAAGTCACTTTCTGAATTCCCCTTAAGCTTTTTATATAAAAAAGAACTTTAATCATCACACAAGTTAGCTTTCAAAGATCATCTTAACCAAGCACGTTCCATCTCTGTGTTTATTGCTTTTTATGACTTAAGTTTAACATTAATTGGTTTCTAACTAGCCTAAGTCAAAGTAAAATGAGTCATAGTTTTCAAAAGTTCTGTAAAATTAGAAAACTAACAACCAAACACAATGCTTCTAGTTTACTCTTAAAGAACATCTCCACGGAACTTACTTGAAACCGGTAAAAGGTGCCATCATCCTTGAGCGTGAGGACGTGATCGGAGATGGGAAAGAAGTAGCCATGGGCCGCCATCAACGTTCCCAAATGCAGCGCCTCCACTGTGTCATGGAAACAAAGAAGATGTGAAAGCTTTTTTGTTTATTGATTTGTAGAACATTTTGTGTGCTTCCTTTTGAGGGCATATTCTCTGCATTCTGAAAACCTGGCTTTGTATTTATTCTCTTTTATTTCAGCTCTTTCACACAAGGTACTAAGAAGGGCCTGGTTCCTGGTAGTGACTGTGGTCATCAGACTCATGCCCAGGACAACCTGCCCATGGCGAGATGAAGTTACAGAACATTGAAACTGGAAGGCTCTTCAGAATCTTCAGGGTCTGGGTCACTCTTCTGATAGATGGGGTATGTGTTCGCTCTGTGTTAATATTCTCCCACAAACAAACTTCCACTTGGCATTCATATAGCACTTTAGACTTCAAAAAATCTTCGCTTACACCCCTTTCTCCAAGTCATGGACATCTAGTGCTGTCAGCAGCTTTTCTAATGATATGGTCCATTATATTACGTGATGCTAACACGGAATGTTAAGGCATCAAGGACTGTCTGTGCTGTGCTATTGAGTCTACAGTTTTGTGATCTTCTGGACTGTTCTAGCTTTGGCTATTCATTACAGTATCTTAGATATGGACTAGGAAAAGGTTTATTTGACAATCAAAATATTCTAGTCATAATATTAGGCTGTAATACTCAGACTCCTTCTATAGCAGCCAACGCTTTCTTCCAACAAAGGGTTAATAAAATTTGGTCAAGAGGGTTATTGCAGCATTGGTGCAGGGATGACATAAAGTTTGCTAACTTGAAGTTTAGAAAGTATGGAACTATGCAAAATAGTTTTCTAGTCCAATATAAAATTATATGTATGGTTATCTCTCGGTGTCCCAGGGGATCAGCTTCAGGACCTCCTTGGATACCAAAATCTGCAGATGGTTAAGTCCCCCAGTCCACCCTCTATATCCTTGGATTTTCAATCTGTGGTTGGTTGGATCCGTGGATATAGAGCCTACAGATGGGAGGGGACAACTTCATATAGAAAATATTTTAAAAATTTACATTTGTTTGTGTATCTTTATATATAATTAATTTATAGATTTATTTCTATATAGCTAAAATAGCTCTTTAGGATTCTCACAGCAGTTCCAGGACTATGTGGATCTATCTGTATCTCCAGCCATCAGTCACGGGGTTTTTACACCTTAGTGAGAACTGAGTCACTACGCAGCCAGCTATGGCACAGCTGAGTGTAAGACTCCCCTCCCTCCCATCCCCCACACCCACATAAATCATACATTTGTTGTTAAATTTTTATCATGCGGTACTACGTTGCCCCTTGGAATTGGTACCTAGCATCTTGCAAGCATTTTAATTGATAACTTCTACTTCTTTAATAAAGAACAACTGCTAATCCTCCTCTGCCATGTCTCTGGAAGACTGTTATTAAATGCCCCAGTCACCTTCTCCAAACTTCCAATCAAGTCTCCCACAGCATAGAATGTTGTTTTTCTACAAAGGAGCAAGTTTTTCCATCAATTTGTTTGTGTGTGTGTTTCCCAACATTTCCATATCCTTTCAGTTCAAAGTCAAGGCCTTCTCAAAGCATGCACTGCTTACAGCAACATCTTTACTTTTATTAAAATTCTGGTGTTAGGGTGTAACTGTAAGAAAGACGAGAACTTTGGAGACATCCACTATCTTTTGTTACTTACATCCTCAGTGTCTCCCCCATCTATTGATAAAGGCAATAAACTTACTGTGCAGGGTTGGTGTAAAAATTACATAAGAATATACCAGAAATGAAGTAGGAGCAGTGCCTCCTGCCTAGCATATACTCAGGATACGGTAGCTATTGGGCTTCACTCTTTACACACTGAATGATTTTTACTTTTATCCAATGTGCTTTCAGAGAATCCACTTCCACAAATGTGACTTCAAGTAGGCTGAGTGCATGTTCCCATCACAAAGAGATGATAAATGGTTAAAGTGATGGATAGGCTAATCCCGGATTTGATCATTACTCACTGTGCACATGCATCCAAATATTACTCTGTACCCTATAAATATGTACAAAAAAACTAGGCTGAGTGAGGGAAGTTGACAGTCCTAAATATACATTTCTATCCTTTTTCTTTTCTTTTGGATTATCTGTAAAATTGAGATGATAAAGGGGTCTATCAGGATAGCAGGGCCATAGCAAGGAGCAGGTGCTAACACCTTGGTCACATCTGAATCCCTGGACAGCCCACCCCAGCCAGGGATACAACAATAGTTGCAGGATTTCAAAGTGAGGTGGACCACCTCTCTTCTTATAGACATTGTTATTTATTTTAGTCCCAGCAGTCATCGGGCTGGAAAAATCGTGTTAGCACACTTTCCAGAAAGAGAAATTAAGTTACAGCACACGGGGAAGTTTGCAGAGTATAGAAACAAGAAAGAGAACCTGCGGTGCCCAGAAATAGACAGTAAATAGCTTCTGAGCTCTAATCACAGGAAACAGTGTGACTAAAATCAAAGCAAGAAACAACCAAAAGCAGTTAGGCACTAAAGTGTTGATGAGGATTATAAAAGTATAGTGAAAGTAAATACAAAGAGACAGCAAAAAAGACAATCAGCAGTGAATGAGCACAAGAATGTCTTGTTCCCTGCAGCTTATTAGCTGCTAACTCTCTTATATAGCTCATACACCTCTGGAGGGCACGGTGTATGTTTGCAGGTTCTTCTTTATGTAGCACTACCATAATTAGGCCTTAATAAATGCATGCTGATGAGAATGACAGAGAGTGAATTGGCTAGTAACCTCTACTTCTCTTTTTCTAAGGTACAATATTCTATTTTTGTTTGATTTGATGATATGCATTCCCATTTTACACCTCCTCCAAGTGATACTCATGTTCTATCATTGTATGATTAAGGACAATTTGTTTTGATGAGTTTGCATCATGCCACAAATTCAGTAGAGATATATTGATGGGGATATAGACAAGACCTCATATGTTAAGGTCAAATCAAATCTTTTGACTTAATATTTAAGAGGACTGACTCTTTAACAATGCTTATAAAATGATTTCAAGGACTTCGCTCAAATAGTAAGCTAGAGAGATTGAGATTATAGTTGGCACTAGGTGCTCATTATGGGACCTCCGGAAAACATGGCTCGAGGGCAGAATAAATGCTTAGATGAAAAATCAGGAAGTTGGGGTGAATTTGCTGCTTCATTTAAGACTATAAGCTTGGCACTTAGCTTGTCAATAGCGAAAATTGCTATTGAATCAATATTTGATGAATGAACAAGTAAATTTATGAATAAATGACACATGAAAAACAGCACTGCATGGAAACGTACCAAACTAATTATTTTGTGTTGCAATGATGAATGGCTTGTTCAGCTCTTCCAAGATAATATAGATGTTCATACTCCTTTTTCCAAATATTTTTATGAGCTTTGGAGATGGGGCTATTGGAGCTATTTTGTTGTGGGAAAAGATAATAGTGATATTAACATCTTAAATGCCAAGAAGAGATCTTAGAGTGGGCTTGGGGTAGTGTTCTCAAGGTTGCCTTGTTAATTGTTAGTGATGAACATGGAGCTTCCCTGTGCTCCCAACTCCTCCTAAATCAGCACCCCCTTAATCTAATAAGAGTCAGAAGATCACTGACAGTCCTGGAACAAAGTGTTGAAAGAGTTTAATGAGTAATCCATCAAAGTCCCCCTCCTAATAACGGCACACCAGATGGCTCAGTTATGTTACGCTTCTCCGCAAAATAATCGCTACTTAATCTTCTTGTACACGTGTTATTTGCTTCACTCACACAGCTAAAGTTCGACAATTAACCTACCAAGAAATCCCAGTTTATTTTTCATTTCAAACCATGAGCACATGGAAAACTAAAAATCCAGCTCCAAACAACTGTTGGTCTTGTCAACAGCCTAGTGCAGCTTTTGTTAAGTCTGACGCACTCAGAGAATGACTTCACCCCAAATTTTGAAGCAATAGAATTGCCATCACTCTCTAAAAGCAAAGGGAATTCTACACGGCATAATTTTCTTTTGACCACAGCTACTTCGAAAAGTTAACAGGATGAAAAGCATATTATAAAAGAGGTTTGAGTTCTTCAGTGGAAAGTGCTCTATATTTACAATATAATTTCAAAGCTCAGTCATTATTTCCCTTATCTAGGGGCTCAACTTCTAGCACCCTTATCTCCTTCCAAATATAACCCATAATTTATAAGTGATAAAAAATGCCTCTGAGTTAAAAAAATAATAATCAAAAAACATCTCACTAAATCTTATATTTATATTCTTGTCATATGTTACTTACTTTTATGTGCACTTTTATGTGCAGGTATTTAAAAATGTGGTTGGCCAGGCTCGGTGGCTCACGCCTATAATCCTAGCTCTCTGGGAGGCCGAGGCGGGTAGATTGCTCGAGGTCAGGAGTTCGAAACCAGCCTGAGCAAGAGCGAGACCCCGTCTCTACTATAAACAAAAAGAAATTAATTGGCCAACTAATATATATAGAAAAAAAAAAAATTAGCCGGGCATGGTGGCGCATGCCTGTAGTCCTAGCTACTCGGGAGGCTGAGGCAAGAGGATTACTTGAGCCCAGGAGTTTGAGGTTGCTGTGAGCTAGGCTGACGCCAAGGCACTCACTCTAGCCTGGGTAACAAAGTGAGACTCTGTCTCAAAAATAAATAAGTAAATAAAAATAAAATAAAAATGTGGTTGTTTCATTATCAATGTACAACATAAATATGATTAAGGAGATGGGGAGAAATATTTTAGAAGTCACTCTAAATAGAAAAGAAAATGACTGCTTATGATATGGCATCAAGGAAATAGAAATCTTAACAAGTAAACAAAGTAAAGTTACTTAGTAGTAAAAGAGCAGCCCTTCTCCATGAGGATTCTGAGTCACAAAGGAAGACTTTTGTTGGATTGTAATTCTCTGTTTAAGAAGACACAGAAGTGGTCATTTTAGAAATCCTCCAAAATATTATACTTATTTTTAGAACTGGCATTTGAAAAGGTAAAATTCGTCATGTAG